TCTTCAAAGTTCTCACTGATGGAAGGAGGTTTTGGCTCAAAATCTCACGATACATGGCCCCATTCATTCTGTCCTTAACACGGATCAGTCGTCCTGTCCCCTTGGCAGAAAAACAGCCCCATAGCATGATGTTTCCACCCCCATGCTTCACAGTAGGTATGGTGTTCTTGGGATGCAACTCAGTATTCTTCTTCCTCCAAACACGACGAGTTGAGTTTATACCAAAAAGTTCTACTTTGGTTTCATCTGACCACATGACATTCTCCCAATCCTCTGCTGTATCATCCATGTGCTTTCTGGCAAACTTCAGACGGGCCTGGACATGCACTGGCTTCAGCAGCGGAACACGTCTGGCACTGCGGGATTTGATTCCCTGCCGTTGTAGTGTGTTACTGATGGTGACCTTTGTTACTTTGGTCCCCCCGTGTGGTTCTGGGATCTTTGCTCACCGTTCTCAAGATCATTTTGACCCCACGGGATGAGATCTTGCGTAGAGCCCCAGATCGAGGGAGATTATCAGTGGTCTTGTATGTCTTCCATTTTCTGATGATTGCTCCCACAGTTGATTTTTTCACACCAAGCTGCTTGCCTATTGATTCACTCTTCCCAGTCTGGTGCAGGTCTACAATACTTTTCCTGGTGTCCTTCGAAAGCTCTTTGGTCTTGGCCATGGCGGAGTTTGGAGTCTGACTGTTTGAGGCTGTGGACAGGTGTCTTTTATACAGATGTTGAGTTCAAACAGGTGCCATTCATACAGGTAACGAGTGGGGGACAGAAAAGCTTCTTACAGAAGACGTTACAGGTCTGTGAGAGCCAGAGATTTTCCTTGTTTGAGGTGACCAAATACTTATTTTCCACCCTAACTTACGAATAAATTCTTTACAAATCCTACCATGTGAATTCATGGATTTTTTTTTCACATTCTGTCTCTCACAGTTGAAGTGTACCTCTGGTGCAAATTACTGACCTCTGTCATCATTTTAAGTGGGGGAACTTGCACAATCGGTGGCTGACTAAATACTTTTTTGCCCCACTGTATAGGAGACCAACGGTTTTAATTATACCAGGATACTATAATCCCCTTGGCTTACTGCCTGTACGTTGGGGTTTCCCCCAGTGGATGAGAGGGTTTGTTCCCTGCGCCTGTGGGTTGGGGAAGGGGCCCTGACTGTCGTCTGCGCTTATGCGGCAAGTGGCGGTTCAGAGTACCCAGCCTTCTTAGAGTCCCTGGTTGGGGTGCTGGAGGGTGCTCCGCCTGGGGACTGTTGTCCTGCTGGGAGACTTCAATGTTCATGTGGGCAATGACAGTAAGACCTGGAGGAGCGTGACTGGGAGGAACGGCCTCCTGGATCTGAACATGAGAGGTGTTTTGTTGTCTGACTTCTGTGCAAACCACAGTCTGGCCATAACGAACACCACGTTCGAACATAAGAGTGTCCATAAGTACACGTGGCAACAGGACGCTCTAGGCCGCAGGTCGATGATCAGTTTTGTAATTGCTTCACCAGACCTGCAGCCATAAATTCTGGACACTCGGGTAAAGAGAGGGGCTGAGCTGTCAGCTGATCACCACCTGGTGGGGAGTTGGATCAGGTGGCGTGGGAGGATGCTGAACAGACCTGGTTTTCCTAAAAGTATAAGGAGGGTGCACTTGGAACACCTGGCAGAGGCCCCAGTCCACCAGATCTTCAACACACACCTCTGGCAGAACTTCAACAGCATTCCGAGGAAGACTGAGGACATTGACCATGTTCAGCACCTCCATTGCTCAAGGTGGTTGGTGCCTGTCGTGGTTGTAACCCCCAAACCAGACATGGGAATTGAAGATATAGCATGCTAGTGCACCCTAACAAGACTTTTGTGTACAGCAGGTCTGTCTAGCATCTTACAGGGACATTGACCACATGAGTATTAAAGTCCCTAATGGACTCCCCAGATGGAGCACTCTCCAGCACTCCACCCCGTTCCTCCAAGAAGGTTGACTACTCTGAACTGTTGTTTAGCACACACAGAAATGACCATTTCTGTGTGTGCTAAACGAATACTGTAAACTGTTCTATCGCTATTCATTGACAATGAGTTCACTCACTCATATAAACACACACACACACACACACACACACACACACACACACAAAAGAAAAGAAGGGAGAAAGTGTATACTGACTGTAGAGCAATGAATGCGTTATAGGGAACCAAACATCAGAGGGCCTGTTAATGCACCATGGAGCATTTTGTCTCCTTAAACGACTTGAAGAATGCCAGACAAAATGACACTGACTTGCTTCAAAAGCAGCAAGAGAAAAGATGCACAGCGCTGCTATCACTTTAGAGAGAATTTTTTATCAGACAATCCTAATCTAATGCTCTGCACTTGTTTGAAATCTTCACTCTAGACAGCAACTCTTTCTGATAAAGCTGGATTTGAGAGAGGCATGGGAATGAGACAGACAATAAAGAAAAGAAATTTGCAGAAGCTTATTTTCTTTGGCTGAGTGCCTCCATATTTAATGGAGATCTGTGTGTAAAAATAATGAATACGTAGCAGGATGACAAGCTGCAAGACAGGTAGATTCTGACATGATTAACATATCAAGAGTTAATTTGGATATGCAATAGCTAACTGTGCATTTAGATTTAAGCTTTTTCAAACTTTTTTCTTTGTTTTTATTGCTTGTTGAATAATGCAACAACATTTTACATATAGTTTGATCTTATCGCTCTACTCATCACTGAAGCCAGGAGTTGAAATAATGCACATGCATGTACATATGATTTAAAAATAACTGAGATTTCAAACATAGGACCATATATCCATACAGTTTTGAGAAAAAATAATCTGTATGGATATTTTTAGATGCACAGTTTTCAACAGAAGTTTTTTGCCTCTGGCCCTTGACTACACATAGCACAAGCTGCAACTACTTTGCATCAAAGCTGCACCCTTAATGAATACCTTCCTGCATCGCAGCATACTTTTGAACTATGTTGTTCTTGTTCAGTTCTAAAAAATATAAAATCTCCAGTTCATCTGGAGAGACAGTTGGTGTGCAGGCTTTTAAGCCAATAATCTTTTGGTTTCCAATTCAAAACAATCAGCAACAAATGTCATTCTTGTCATGTTAATGAATTGTAGGATATTGAAAAAGCAAATACCAAACATAGTTGTTTGATGTAGTTTATAGAAGACACATATACATGTATTGATAGCCTGTAACAAGCCTTCTTGATCAAAACAGGTGATGCTAATTTTGCTTCCAAAATCAACAATTTTGTGCGGACAAAAAATATGAATAATTGGTAAGGACCGAAGATGTTATAGACAAAAAGAGAGAGATAAAAGTGTGAGCAGTGATGCCAATTTGACAACATCAAAAACAGTTTACTTCACAGAAGGCTAACAAAGATATGAAAAAAAGACAGAAAACAAGGAGAAAACACTGAGTGGTTGCAGTGTAACAACCTCCCTTCTTCAAATGACAGACAGAGAGGCAATTACAAAATAAACTAGAGACTGGACCAATGCAGAAAGGCAAAGAAAAAAGGGTCTCTCACTGTCAGAACAGAACAAGTTTGTCTACTTCCGTAAATAGACAAACTGATTGGGAGACATGTCAGTTTAATAAAACACAATAAACCACCTGCCAATATGTATCAAGGGGAGGGAGTAGTGAGAAGCTCAATATTCTGAAAAAGTTTGCAATTCCTGGTGGAGATGGGTGAGACTGGAGGAAGCTTTGCAATATTTATCTCCAAATTCACATCAGTTTAATCCAGAATGCATCAATGAAATTTTTAATATGTAGATGTTTATGGTGTTACTTTTTTGTTCCCTACCTTTTTGTTCCTTTTGTTTTCATTTTTTTGTGTTTTGGTTTTATTTAAACGGTTTTGTTTGTTTATTTATTGAGAAGATAATAGCGAAGGAAGCAATTCCTATTTTTGATTAATAGCTGTTTGGGAATCATCTTGGTGCAAAAATACTTTTGTGTTTTTGCAACAGGCTGCTAGTAACAAAGCACTTAAGGATACAATTTAAAATGGGTTCTTTGCTAACTTGTCTGTTATGTGTGGAAACAACACTGGTTCATCCCTTGAATTAGGTGCTTTTTTATAATTGAATGTCAGTGTTATGTTAGTGTTAAGAGGCTTATCAAACCAACAAACTGACAAAATTATTTTGAAACTGTTCAGGTACAAGTACTATGCTAAAGATGAATGAAACAACAGCCAATAAAACTTGGAAAGACTTCAGGAAGCCTAGAGGAGTACTGTTCAAGGCGACTTTAAAAAAAAATTACAAAACAAAACCAACTCCTTGGAAGTAACATGTAAAGCCATGAGAGATGCCTCAATTGTCACGGCGAGTGAGATAAGCCGTGTGAAAATAATAAATGAGGATCCAATCGCAAGCAGTCGTGAAGATGCGAAGGTGGTTTATTGAACACGAAATAAGGACAAACAGCAAATGGAGCTCGAACTAAACTATACTGGGAAAAAACTAAACTATAGCGCAGAAACCAGAACATGAACACGAAGCAGGGTGAGCAGAGGCAGACGATGGTAGACAGCAGGGTGAACACACGAGCGAGACACGGTGGTTACACAGACAGACCAGCAACTACAATGACGGAGGACACGACTTAAATACACACAGAGAAACACGGGAATTACACACAGGTGGTGGACACAGCTGGGAACAATCAGTAAGATGAGACAGAGGTAAAACTGAACACACTCACATGAGACGCAGACCTTCACAATAAAACATCACACGCAGGCTCGACATCGAGAGACAGACAGGAAATGACATATGAAACTAAACCCACATCTTAAACCCAGATAAACAGAAACATGGAACTCTAATAATAGACATCATAATCATCACCATAACACGACAAGAGAACAAGAAAACAATCCCTGATGCAAACTTAAATCAAAACACAATAAACTCAAAATACTGGGTCCCACGGACCCAGAACCGTGACAGTACCCCCCCTCTAAGGGCTGGCTCCCGACAGCCCCAAACAAAAAAGCACAAAGCACCAGGCCAGGGTGGGCGGAGGGGGTCCAGGACGGAAGGACAGAAACCAAGCAAAAAGCAAGGAGCCAGAGTCCACGAAAAGTCCAGGGGACCGACCGTGCACACGGCGACGGGCAAACAGTTCCGGAGGCCGACCGTGTACACGGCCACGGCGGCGACGGGCAAACAGTTCCGGAGGCCGACCGTGCACACGGCCACGGCGGCCACTGAGCAGTTCCGGAGGTCGGCGGCGATGCCAGCGGCGGCGACAAACTCCTTCCGGAGGCCATCCCCGAAGGCCATGATGCCAACTTAGCGGCCTGGAAAACGGCTGGCAGAGGCAAGGCGGAACAGGTCGAGCTGGCTCTGACGGCGGTGTGGCAACCGCAGGACCAGGCAAGGCCGGGCCAGACGACGACGAAGGCGGAGCTGAGGCCGGGCCAGGCGTGGATGAAGACACCGAGGCCGGGCCAGGCGTGGATGAAGACACCGAGGCCGGACCAGGCGTGGATGAAGACACCGAGGCCGGACCAGGCGTGGATGAAGGGACGGCTGCTGAACCTGACGGCAGCGGGACGGCTGCAGGTGATGATGCTGCAGGCGATGATGTAAAAGTCGCGGGGGACGATTCAGCAGGTGACGATTCAGCAGGTGACGGCTGAACCAATTTCCCCGAACCATCAGCAGGTGTGAGGATGTGCTGGCTGGGTCCTCCAGGACCCTCAGCTAACGAGGCATGGTGCTGGGTGGGCTCCTCGGACCCTCCAGCAGACGAGGCTTGAGGCTGGACGGGCTCCTCGGACCCTCCAGCAGACGAGGCTTGAGGCTGGACGGGCTCCTCGGGCCCTCCAGCAGACGTGGCTTGAGGCTGGATAAAATATAAAATAAATAAAATATAAGTATTAACTGGCAAATGCAAACAAAACCACATATCCCCCATATTAGCAACTCTATACTGGTTGCCACTCAGTTTTTGAATTGACTTTAAAATGTGAACGTTATTTGTTTTTAAGGTATTGTGTGGGTTTGGACCTTCTTACCTCTCTGATATTTTAAGTTTGATCGTTCCCTATAGATTACTGAGGTCTGTTGAGCAAATGGTCCTAGCTGTCCCAAAGTCCAGATTAAAGCAGAGAGGGGATTGGGCCTTTGCAATTGCTGTTTTGAAACTGTGGAATAAACTGTCACTTCACATCAGGACCTCCCCAACAGAGACACTTTTAAAACCCATTTGAAAACCCATTTTCTTTCTCAATGACCTTTAAATCAGAATGAGTTCAGAGCACTCCTTGTTTGTGTTGTTTTACTCAGGTTATCCCAATGTGTGTTTCCATTCTTAAACTGTCATTTTATCCTATGTTTTATGTTATTTGGTTAGCTATACAAAATTTTAGTCAACCGCTGTTGTTTTTAAGTGTGCTATCCGGTTGTTCAGTGATGACGCGACGAATCCTACTTCCGGGTCTAAAGTAGTCTGCGTTTAATATGGCTTTTGTGTTGTTAACATGTTTAATGTTATGTATTTTCTTCTATTTGATCTCAAAAAGCTCCTAAAACAGTCAGTGATCACTGTTGACCTCCCTCGGCTTTTATTACCGCTAATCATTTATTTAAGCTCAGTTTTTAAAACCTTAGGATGTAACTACAGCCCAGCCCATGCAGCAGTATATGAATGACTAACCTCGTATTGTGGATGGATTATCTCAGTTGTTCTCCTGGCTGAAGTTTGGTCCTTTTACAGCATCCTGCCATGCGATTACATTTGTTTCTGACCACCGAGAACACTCACGTTAACTTTTATCGAGTGGAAAAAAAGTTAGCTTGTTTATATTATGCTAACATAGCTGTGTCGCTAGCGGTCACGTAGCACATCATTATATACCAGCTAGCCCAACTTCAGTAACCCTACAAACGTCACTGCTGTTTAGTTTTCTGTCTTCATTTATCCTGGAAGTGATAGCAGAGCTGCACGTTTTAATTTGTTTCCAAAACCCCGCAGTCAGGACATGCTATATTGTATTTAGATAGAAGCTAGCGAGCTAACTCCCCGCTAACTTCTAACTCCGTTAAATGTCATAAATTCGGTTTTCATGGATGCCTGGATGTTAAACTCAATTGTTACACCTGGTAGAGCAGAACGCTGATCATTTTATTAAAGATGAAAGACTTTAGACAGTTTTTCAACTCTCAGTAATGCCATAGTGATCGTTTGATATATGGACCTGCAGCGGAGTTTAGACCCAGACACGGCTAGTGACGTCAGACTGAACAACCGGATAGAAATAAACTTAACATGATGGTCACAACTGGGCAAGAAACTCATACAGAAAAACAAAATGTTACAAAATGTTACAAAAGTAACTATATAATTATTATTTAACTTAATGTAACTTTAACTTTTCCTGACCCAATTTATCATACGCAGTTTGCAAAAACGATTTTTTTATTGCCTTCTTCTGCAGACTTGCGTGCATTCAAAATGACACAAACAGTCAGATAACCTTATGTCGTCAGTACAAACAAAGTTTTAACAGAGAGGTACCTTCTAACTAAGCCCACTCCCAAACTGCACAGGTTTACTGTCTGAAAAAAACAGTAGACTGCTCTGCAGCTCTGGAGTAGCGATGGATTGGTTTACTGACAGGCTGACCATTACAGCATCAGCACTGACCACTTTTACCAAGCAAACACCTTGAAGCTACTTTTCCCAAGAGGTTAACCACTGCACCTTCAGCACATACCATAATTTGGGAACAGCACACTGTATCTTGGGGTCTCTTGTCTCTTGCTGACTTTTGGTATTGTAAGTGCACTGTATAAACCCTGAGCTTCAGCTAATAAATATCCTTGGTCATTTATAGGTAGCCAGTAAAATAAAAACAAGCTAAGCAATGTGAAAAACAACATGCAATGCAATTAATTTTGTCTGTGATTTATAAACACATTTAAAAACTGCATTCCCAAGAGAAAATTAATGTTTTTCAATATCCCCGTAATATTGTAAAAACACCACTCTTCCTGTACCCAAACCTGCTACTGAATTTGTTTTCTAATTGCACTGTGTGTGCAATCTGCATGTGTGTGTGGTAGCAACTAAGTCTCCATGATATAAACCCTTAAAACCTTAAATGATATCATCGAGAGCTGGTTTAAGGTTGGGATATGTCCACTGAAAGTGATGAAAACACTATGAGTGTGTGTGCATCAATCGACATGTGGGTCTTCTGGCTGTAATGTGTTAGCTTGACACTTGGAAGACCTGATCAAATTGTTGAGGCTGATTGCCAGCAATCATATCTCTGCTTACTTTCTCCCTCTGTGCCCCCCTCACACAAACGCGAATGCTTTCACACATGCTGTTCTGTCTCAGTGGGCTCATCATCTTCTATCTCTTGTTTCTCTCTCTCTAACTTCTGTGGACTGTCTTACTCTTTATTGCCCAGACCAGTGCAACCCTGTGTCTCTCACTCCTGCTCTACCACTTTTTCACATTCACACAAGCACATACGCGCACATAATGGTGTTCATTTCACAGCACATTGCCGCCATTATTTGCCATTTCTACCGATGGCCGTAATCATGAAGACTGAGATGAGTATATGGTGAAATCATTCCCTCTCCAGTCAGATCAGCCTGCCCTCATTCTGTCTTTCTCTATGTCGCATTATCCACAATGTATGTTTCTTGTATGCTCGTAAATGAGTTTGTATGTGGATGCATTTCATTTTTGAAGTCATGCAACTTTTAGTCAGTGTAATAATTTCATTTGTTGTGTACTTGTGAAGTATTATGTTTTACATGTAAGTGATAAAGGAAATGTACTCTGTGTAAGCATACCAGGACTACAGCAATCTGGCTTCAGAATAATTATCCCATTTTTTCAGGTGCCCTACAGCTTCTTTTTGAGAAGCCATGGGTGGGATCTATTATAGCTGTTATAATAGCTGTATTAAATAACAGGAGTTTATTTTTGTTTGCCAATGTCAAAATGTTGGGAGAAAAAAAAAGTGCAACACATTTCATGGTACATAAGGGTAGGAGAAGGAAAGGAGGACAAGACAGCGTTTGTAAAAATAAATAAATAAATAAATCCATCAGAGATTAGATGAGGAAAGAAAAAGTCAACCAAATGAGACATCATCAGTCAAAGATAGCATGATAGATGTGATGAACAAGGTGAGAAAAAAATGGAATATTCACAGAACGAGCAGAGAGAGTTATACAAAATCAAGAGCAAAGGAGAGGAACGTGAATACAAGAAAGAGGGTAGAGGAGGTACACAAGGAGGAACAATAGGACCGCAAAAAGACCCCCTTTTATAAAACCATGTTTAGGTGGAATAGAGGGATTCTTCCCTTGGGCTTTCTTGCTGTGTTATTGTAGGACTAAATAGAGATACAATTTTCAAGGAGAGACAATTTTCTCTCCAATGCTCTTTGCTCCATGTGAAGGTTGCTGTAATTTAGCTCTTTGCCTGGGGAGGAACATGGTGCCACAGCTAGGTCATCAGAAAGCATCAGTTCACCAAAATGCCAAGGAGATTATTTCTCTTTTTTAAGTAGACGGCCAGGAGAGATATAAAAGAAGTTGTTAGTATGAGGGGAAAAAAGAGAAAAGAGGTGACAAAAGCAGGAAAAGAGAAGGGTTGTGGAAATAAGGTAAGAAACAGTTAAATGATAAAAATAAAAAAAAAGCAAAAAAAGTCAGAAGTAAACATAAACCAGGTAGACCTTAGTGGACGAGGCAAGTGAGCATGAGAGGACAAGAGTCAGAAGTAGAAACTTAAGCACAGATAAGACAAAGGAAAGAGAGAAAAGAGAGATGATTGAAATGGGGTGTGGTTTCAGGAGCAGAAAGAAGAAATAAGTCTTTACCAAACAGGTGTCATTTGCAGGAATACGGTTTTAGTCTGATCTTCAATATTCCTTCTGCTGTCTACCCACCCATGCTCCTAGACTACTTGTCTCCCTACGCTTTCCTTTTTTTGATCTTTCCTCTTTTCCCTCAGCCCCAACTTGATTGATAGATGTCTGTTCTTCCCTGAGGCTGGTTCTGCTGGAGATTTCTCTTTGTTAAAATAAAGTTCTTCCTCACCACTGTCACCACTTGCTCGTAGAGGATCGTCTGATTGTTGGGGATTCCCTTCTAATATTGGAGTCTTTTTTAGTATAAATCCACCTAAGGTGACTGCCTTTATTGCACTTCCTTGAAGTTAGGGCCCTGCAAGTATTAAAGATGGCCCTAACTGTATAACTCTCATGATCTAATTTAACCGCACCTTTCATTAGGCCTGTGTGAGGAATGTGTGTTTGTATAGTGGAGTGGTGGAAAACACTGGAAAACTGCTGTATGTAACATCAACTACTAACTAACATACACAGACTCAAAAAGCTATGAAATGGTTCCTTTGCTTTTTATTTATTGTTATTGCCATCTAAGTAGTCAGCTAACCTTTAGATAGATAGGCACAGGCCAATAACACCACTAATCTAAATCATCTATTTCATTAAAGAAATAATTACAAATTTAAGAATTTAAGAATAGTGTCTATTCAGAAAGCGACTAATGGGGATCCAATCAACCAGTGCATAAAGATACAGATGCTGATTGAAACCAGTGTCTGTTAAAATTTAAATTTACTTTTAAAAAGAAAACTAAAGTTATTGAAAAACATTATTAACATTCAGTAAAATAGAATGTTGCACTCATAACTTTAAATACATGTTTTGGCTAACACAAAAAGGTTAACTTTTACTGGCCATGACTGACACTTATTAAAAAGCAGATTTTTCAGTACCCCTCCATTAGATTAGCAGGCATGCAGAATAACACAAATACACATATAACCTTGGATCCTCTGTACAAATA